CTACATTCTCTTCTAAGAGTTTTGTAGTTTTAACTCTTTCATTCAGGCCATTAATTCATTTTTTAATATTGTCTGAGGTAAGCATCCAGTTTCATTCTTTTACATATGGCTCTTCAGTTGCCCCAGCAGCATTTTGAAAAGACTATTCTTTCCCTGTTGGATGGTCTTAGAATCACTGTTGAAAATTTGTTGACCATCGATACAGGTTTAGAAACCTATTTTAGCATTCATAGTGTTTGGATTTGTGTTTCACAGATAATTCTGTGATAATTCATTAAAGGAAGATTGTGCTTGCTTGTTATTAGGCTTTTAGGGATGTTTATGTAGTTTACTAAAACTGTATATTGTATACCACAGACTTAACCTAGAAAAATTCATGTGAAACAGCTGTTCTGATCATGAAAGTTGAGTTTGGAAATGCATGTTTCTTTTCGTGACAGTTACATTTGTCTTCCTTTTTTACTGAGGTGCTTCCTGAGTTTACTACACTTATGAACTAGTATATGACAGTCTCTTCCTCAAGTTGCTAATTGTATGGTAGTGGAATTGGGCAGATGAAGGGGGAGAGTACAGTGGCACCAGAAAAACCATGTAGGAATTTTTAGTCCATAAAAGTGGTGTATTTTGATTTTATATAGGTTGTACAAATATTTCCACCCTTAGTATATAGTTTTTAGTACTTCTTTAAAAAAAAACTAGCATTTTGTTAAGACCAGGAATTTTACATTGAAATCATTTGCTTTCTCACAGCTCTAAATTAGGATATGAATGAGTACCATGGATGCTGCTGAAAAGAAATGAATGATAAAGACTATTAAGTAGCTTGATGTTTTTTGTATTAAGCTCTGGGAAAATCCATTATCGACCTTCAAATTGCTGAGGCTGAACCAATGGGATCATTAAATTCTTTCAGTGTTTTTCTTTGTATTCATTCTTAGGAACTCAATAGGATTTTTAATTGAATTAGTTGGAATTGAATAGTTGAATTTGGAGTATTTTTCACTAATAAGCCTTTTTCTCATAATGTCCCTATATAATTTTATGTACCTTTTTTCATAGGAATCTCAGCAGTCCAATTTTGGCCCTGGAGAACAAAGTGAGTACTTCTTTTACTCTTGGTTTTCAAATTAAGCTGTTTATTGAGCATTCATTTCTCATAGTCACATCATATATTGCTTTAATAATTCTGCATGCCTTACCCCAATTTTTATGCTGTGGTATTACATGGGTTGAACTGAATGTTGGTATTAAAAAATGAACAATTATAGATCAGTGGAGATCAAAATTAACTTTTTAAAAATTACTTGCATTAATAGTTCAAAGTTCATGAATTCAATCTGATGGGCACCTCATATACTCAAGAGCCATTCTACTGTCTTTTTATCTGTCCTTCATGAACATACTTCGTTCTACCATGGTAAAACTCTAAGAAAGCAGCGGGATCATTGTAGCTTAGCATGGTCTTCTCTTCTCTTCCTATATTTATTTATTCTGCCTGGATCTTTTTGTCTGGGAAGAAAGTCTGCTATCTGCTACCCAGACCCCCTCCACCTCCACTATGTTGGCCTTCCCACTCTTGAGGGGAGGATAGCCTCAGGAAATTCAAGTGTTGTGGTCCCAAGAGATGATAGCTGTGTGAATTGGTAAGGTCTGGGACCTTCAAAATGTCTGGCCTTCACCATATAATTCCGTAATAAAAGTTCTTTTTGCTGAGAATGTTAACTTCTTAATAAGGTAGATTTATACTGGCAATTGGTTATATTGGGAAGTAAAAATGGGAACTTTTTGATTCTTGTTGTCTTTACTGATCTTAGAGCAAAGACAAAACTAGAATAATATCCCTTTTAATGTTAACAAATACTATCTGTATATCTATTTCTTCCTTTCCCAAGCTAACTTGCGGCAAGTGAGATAATAAGCTGTACCTATTTGTTATGACCTGTGTTTTCCACTTAATTTATTTTAGAGTTGTTTCTGTATCAGTATAATGCTCCAACTCATTCTTTTTAACATTACAGTCATATTATATTGTATGCAAGTACCATAATTTATTTAAGTAGTCCCCTCTTGCGCATTTTGTTTCCAGTTTTTGCTGTTAATAAATCATACTGTAATAAACATCTGTGTATGTATGTTTATGTATCCCTCCAGATATACCTGTAAATTCCTTTTGCTTTAATTGCTAGGTCAGTGGATATGTACATTTACAGTATTGATATTAACCAGATTGCCTTCCAAAAAATTTGTGTAAGAATTTATAGTCCTACCACCAGTGAATGAGTGTGCCTGTTTCCACAGGTATCTCAAATTATCAGACTTTAAAGTGTCACCAATTTGATGGATGAAGAATTGTATCTCATTTTGATTTATATTTCTTTGAAAGTATATTGATAGATGTTTTACAATCTAAAAAGCTACACTATAGTTGCTGATTTCCACTTTGTTGTTGTTCTAGAAAGATATAATTCTTCTAAAACTTCAAATGGGCACCAGTCTAAATCGTAAGTTTATTGCTTAATAAATTTGTCCTTTTTGCTCAAAGTTTACCTGTAATATCTGGATATTTATAACAATGCTTAGAAATATGTACATAATCTTTAAAGCCAGGGGTAGGCAAACTTTTATGTAAAGGGCTGGACAGTGAAATACTTCTTAGGCTTTAGGGGCCAATGGTCTTTTTCCCAACGACTAAGATCTGCCATTAAAGCATGATAGCAGCCATAGGCCATGGATCGGGCTGCGTTCCAATAAAGCTTTCTTTACCAAACAGGTGGTGGTCTGGATTTGGCTTTGTTTGCCTACCTCTGCTCTGAAATTACAGTTTTTTCTCATCTCTAGAGGTGTGTGTTGATAGTTTGTTTTTAATGAAATATAAAAAAAAGGACAGGATTCTTCTTAGTCCTCCATGTAACCACTAAGCCTATAATTTTAAAGTAGTGCAGTTTGTACCGTCTTTAAATTTTCCTACTTTTTTAGGTAGAAACAGAAATACACATCAAAATGTAACAGGGTCATGTACTGGACCTGCTGAAATACCAGCTGAAAGAATGAACTCCTGAATTACTGAGACCAAGTGCTAACTCAGTGATTAAAATTCTAAAGAAACTGTGGCCTCAGTGACATCTCTGTGCCATAACCAAAATCTATACTGATAGCCTTTGCCTCTTCAGCTGAGCATAGGGAGAACTGAGAATGAAAATGTGTGAATGCAAAAGGTCCCCCCACCTCACTGCTGAAAAATTTGAATTCTATTCCTATTTATCCTATTTATTCATATGCAAAGAACTTATGTGAGCCTACCATACATGTGTATTATCACTTTGATTGCTGAGAGAACAAAAGCATGTAGGACCTTGAGGGCTGAAATCTTTGACATATTCACATGTGTGAACAGGTTCATTGAGCTGCCATTATTAAATCATAAGGGCTGAGAGAACTCAGTTACAGTAAGTACATTTCCTTACAGGACATCAGTCATAGAGATGCACTAAGCCCTTGTCCAAAAGAAAACTCTTTTTTTCTGTCCCACTTAATTGGGCAAGCTTTAAAACACTTTTCATAATTCTGTAATTATCTGGTTACTTGTTTCAAGGTGATCTTTTAGGTGATACTCTGAATTTGGGGTCATATTTAGAAACTCAGGTTAAGCTTTGAGGGTAAAGTATATAGTGATTGGAGTGAAAGAAGATTTCCTTCCCACTGGCTGAAGACTCTCATGAAATTTTAAGAAGGTAATGAGAAATTAAATATTTTTCTAGTTTTCTCCCTAAGCTTTGTATTAACCTTTCCTATCCTGTAAAAATGCAAGGAGTGTTTTGTGGTTCATTAATTAGATTTTAATTTTAATTTGGTTTTATGGCCTTAGGGAAAATTAAATCTGTATCTTTACTTTCAAAATGAATTCTAAAAACTGTCTGTTTATTGTATTTATTTGTGTTTTTTTCATTGACTTGAATTTTGATCCAGGAAGATTTGGAACCTGGAGTTTATTTTTAATTCATAATGGCTGTTGCTGTTTAATAAGCCAGGGTTCATATCCCAATTTGTTACTTCTACAAAGGTCACTCCTCTTTCATAGGAAGGTGTTTATGAACTAGAACTTTGACTTTGTGTGCTTGTTTTCACAATTATCCAGTTGTACAAATCTCCTCATGAAAAACTCTGGGGACAGTGAAAGAGAATTGCTGGTGCTTTCATTTTATCTCCCTTCTTTTTAGGAGTTAACTCTCTCTGGTGGACTGTTGAGTATGAGTATGGTCATTTGTTTTAATAATGAATGAGTGTGTGTGTGTATGCCATTAGAGAAAAATTAGAGATAACAAGTGAGTATCAGTTTGTAGAAGCTGGCTTTTGTTTAATTAGAAAAGAAAGATGAATATTTTACTTATGAAAAAGCTAGAGCTTGTGAAATTGTTAAATTCCTCCTGTCTCAGTTTTTACTTTAGATGTGAACCAAACCAGACAGAGTATGGTTTATTGGTTCTTTTCTTTATTTTTCAGTTAAATCTTTGGCTACCATAGTTATTATTTCTAGGATCATTGGTGGGTATTTAATACCCTGGTATGCTATGATAAACTATTCTAAAATAATAATCCTTTTGCCTTTTCCCTCCAGTATGTTAAAAGATGACTTAAAACTAAGCAGCAGTGAAGACAGTGATGGAGAACAGGTGTGTTACTACTCTGTGATTTTTGCCAGTCTCATACAATATTTACTTCTGTTGTATTTTATAAGAATCATAATTGATTAATACATTTATGATGCAGTTATTTAAAATAAGTTCCTGACACTGGAATATTGTTTCCTGCTCTCTTTGGACTTCCATTTTTTTCTTATTTTTAAAAAATTGACTTTTCCTTAATACTTAACGTAGATCAGAAAACATACTCATGAAGCATGAGATTGTTGACAAGAACTGTTAACATAGCCTTTCATCTTATCCTGGCAGTTAGTTATTCTTGAGGTAAAAACAGCATGTCATAAGTTTTAAGTAAATACTGATGCATACAGATGCATAGAGAAGATAGTTTTTCTATTAAAAGTTCAGATATTTTTCACATTAAGCACATAGTGTGCTATTTATTTATTCAGAGATTTCTTCTCGTATTTTAATTTTAGGACTGTGATAAGACAATGCCAAGGAGCACACCAGGAAGGTAGGCATTCTTTTATTTCTTGTTTTATTTGGAGGGGTGAAGTTACCATTTTAGTGATATAAAATTGACCTTATAAAGTAAATACTATCACTTGTGATGGTAGTTGTATAACTCTGCGAATTAACTAAAAATCACACAATTGTACACTTAAAATGGTTGAATTTTATGGTATGTAAATTATCCCTCAATAAAACTGTTTTTAAAAAATAAGCACTAATGGCTAAGCTGCATATGAGAAATTTTTTAAGGAAGCATGTATTTCATTAAAATGGGAGTTATGGATTCATAGAATTGTGACAGCCTAACAAACAGTAAATATTTTAAATGTAGTTGGTTTTTGGATTTGGATGTTTTCCTATTGTCATTGCAAAGAAAACTTTTGATCATTTATGTGTTTTATCTCTTTTAGTAACTCTGAACCTTCACACCATAACAGCGAAGGAGCAGATAACTCTAGGGATGATTCTAGCAGCCACAGTGGATCTGAAAGCAGCTCTGGATCTGACTCAGAGAGTGAAAGTAGTTCTAGTGACAGCGAGGCAAATGAGCCATCCCAGAGTGCATCTCCTGAGGTGAGAGGGAGGCGGGGGGAACCTTCCACAGGCCCTTTCAGGATCCCTAGGGATGGCCAGTTACACCTGATTCAAATACAAGAAATTTCACTGTCTATCTTGGAGGAAGACTAGATACTTCAGTTTCCTTGTTACTTGAACAAATCTTTGGTCTAGATCAAGAACTACTTAAGTTCATATTTCAGGTCACTAAAATACTGGATTTATTTTGTTTGGGCTTCATTTTGTTTTTCAATGTGGAAAATACATGTTGTGTAGTTATTGCGGATAAAAAGACTTAACATAGTATTATTTTTCTGTAGGTCGATAAAATATGGTTAAAAATCTGTCAGTGCATCATTTGTTTCACTTTCTGGAACTAAATATACTATATGGTCATTTGTAATTCTGCCTTGGATATTGGATTTCTGACAGGAAAATCTAATATTTAAAGGCCATATATAACTAAGCTTGTCTTCTGTGAATAAAGCTTATAGTCATTCAGCACTTTGCTTTGGTTCAGTCAGAACTATGAAAAACAAATGCCTTCATGGCATTAGTATGTTTTTCCTCTTCCTTGAGACTGCAAAGGAGGGAGAAATCTTTTGTATTGAAAAAAGCATATTCTGTTTTTCAGCCTGAACCACCACCAACAAACAAATGGCAACTGGATAATTGGTTGAATAAAGTGAACCCACATAAAGTGTCACCAGCTTCCTCTGTGGACAGTAACATCCCGTCATCTCAAGGCTATAAAAAGGAAGGCCGAGAACAGGCCACTGGAAACAGCTACACTGATCCAGGAGGACCTAAAGAAACAAGTTCTGCTACTCCTGTACGAGACTCCAAAACCATCCAAAAGGGATCAGAAAGTGGGCGGGGGAGGCAGAAGTCCCCTGCACAGAGTGACAGCACAACACAGAGGAGAACTGTGGGCAAAAAACAACCCAAAAAGACTGAGAAGGCAGCTGCTGAAGAGCCCCGTGGAGGCCTGAAGATAGAAAGTGAAACCCCCGTAGACATGGCTGCCAGCATGCCTTCCAGCAGACACAAAGCAGCCACCAAAGGCTCAAGGAAACCCAATATAAAAAAGGAATCCAAATTGTCCCCCCGACCTTCAGCAGAGAAAAAGAAATACAAGTCAACAAGTAAATCTTCCCAGAAATCAAGGGAAATCATAGAAACAGATACCTCATCCTCAGATTCGGATGAAAGTGAGAGCCTTCCTCCCTCCTCACAAACTCCTAAGTACCCTGAGAGTAATAGGACTCCTGTTAAACCCTCCTCGGTGGAGGAAGAGGATAGCTTTTTCCGGCAGCGAATGTTCTCTCCTATGGAAGAGAAGGAACTTCTTTCACCCCTCAGTGAGCCTGATGACAGGTTTCCACTTATTGTGAAAATTGACCTGAATCTTTTGACTAGAATACCAGGGAAGCCTTACAAAGAAACAGAACCGCCCAAGGGAGAAAAGAAAAATGTGCCAGAAAAGCACACAAGAGAGGCTCAGAAACAAGCCTCAGAAAAAGTTTCCAACAAAGGCAAGAGGAAACACAAGGTTTGTAAAGCGTTTTTGTTGTTTATGTTTGTAAACATCAGAATCTGAAATGCAGTGGAAATCTCAGTAAGCCTGTGATTAGTTGAGAGGTTGAGTCACAGCTACGAGGGGAAGGAGAGAGTGAGCCCATGACCCAGGTGAGGCTACAGACAGCAGTCTCTTGAGGACCACCTGTGCCTCTGCCCATCTCCTCTAAGTATTTAGGATAGTTTCTAATTAAAAAATGAGCCAGCGCTTCTATTCAGCATTTGTGCTGGCCAGGGTAGAGGTGAAAGTGAAGCCAAGAGTGCAAACTGGCCTTCACGACATTCTTGAAATTCTGGGTTTAAGTGTCTTTAGTAGGATATGTATTCTGCAGGTTGTCACAATCCCCAGCACTCCTTTCTTACACCAAGTCACATTTTTTAATTACTAATTCCAGCTAAAAAATTGACTCACCAATTTTGATGTGTCCTTAAGAATTTCCCTATACTGTTTGTTATATATATGTATACCTGTTTTTTTCCTCCTTCAAACACCCATATCTACAAATTCAGAACTAGAAACATCTGCTGGCATATAAGGAAGCTCTCATCTCTGCATACTTTCAAGATAATTTGGATCTAGAGACAAAGCATACATTTAAGGTCAGCTTGTTTTAGACTCAGAAAATGTGAAAATTCACAACTCCCTATGATTGGAGATAATAGACATATAATGAAAAGAGCTGAACAACTTATATAAAAATTCTTTGGAAAAAACAACTTGATTTTTCAGCTCTAGTGAAGACACTAGAGGAAAATATATTTTAATAAACTATACTGAAGAAGAGTATGATTTCCCCTGATGCATGTGAAAGGCTGAAAGCATGAGCAGGCAAATAGATAGGTATCAGAATGCCCGTACCAGGAGGACTCAACAAAACCCCAATCCCAGTTGACCTTAAGAAACTCACATAGGAGGGGATAGAAAGAATACAGCATTTTAGCATTTTCTTAACATCAAGTGAGCCAGAAGTTTTTCCCCTTTCTTTTTTTTAAAACCACAGTACTATGTACAGATTATGATGTATATTTGGACAGACTAGAATACTATTACTATTTTTGACATCTTCAAAGTTGATGATTTTTAAAAATTTGAATTATTAGAAAACAGAAGTTTACTACTTTTAGTGCTGTCACTAGTAAGTTTCCATTACTGTAATTTAGGGATGCTTTGTTCAACTAGTAAGCTGTTTAGGGATCTGGCCCTTAAAGCCCACAGCTTTAAATTGCTGGACTTGGTTATGGGATTTAATTCATGGAATTGCATGAAATAAGAAATAGTATATGATAGGCTCTGCTCTTTAGAAAATTAAGGTGTATCTTGTGGAATTAAGAAATGGTCTTTTTCTGATTAAAAAGTATTACATGTTCTTTATAAGATATTCAAATGTTTAAAATATAATATGAAAATTAGAAGTCCTTTTTACTCTTCTGTTTAAAATTTTACAATATATTTAACTTGTAATTTAAAGACCCTCTTCCTCTAAAAGAAGTACCTCATATCTCCTCCATTCCCCCAGCTCATTAGCATATATTTTGCCCAAGTTCTTTTATATCAGTATCTGTAAGTCAAATTTTGATTTTATAAAATGTACAGCACCAGGAAATTTTGTAATGATTTTTGAGATTAATGACTTTGGTAAAATTAAGTGGCAGGGACAATTCCTGGAGATAAAACCAGTGTACTAAGGAGAGATCCAGCTAAGAGTAATAAAGAATGTGGATTCCATTTTCTCATGTTGTTCACATGTCCATCTCTAGTTGTGTAAAGGAATGTATTCTTTTGTTATGGCATAATGTTTGCAGTCTTGTGGTCTGATATTTAAAGTAATAGGAAAACTTAGATTCACCCAAGGAAGGAATATTGACAATTATAGATGGGCCCACAGCTTTTGTTTCAGTAAAAAAGTTTTTCAAAAATCATTAGACTTGGCTGTAATCAAAAAGACCAACAGTAACAAGTGTTGACAAAGATGTGCGGAGGAATTGGAATTTTCATCCCATGCTGGTAGGAAAGTAAAATGATGCGGCCGCTTTGGAACAGTTTGGCAATTCCTCAAAAAGTTAAACATAGTGTTACTAATGACCCAGCAATTCCACTTTTAGGTTTATACCCAAGAGAAAAGAAAAAACATGTTCAAACAACAATTTGTATTTGACTATTCATAGCAGCATTGTTCATATTAAACAAAAAGTAGAGACAACCCAAATGGCCATTAATTGATGAATGGGTAAATGAAATGTGGTATACCTACACAATGGAATATATTCAACCATCATAAAAAAAGAAACGAAGTACTGATATATCTGCAATGTGGTTGAACCCTGAACATGTTATGTTAAGTGAAAGACACAGAAGGCTGCACATATTGAATGACTCCATTTATATGAAATGTCTAAAATAGGTAAATCTCTATAAAGACAAAAACGTATAGCTTAGTGATGCTAGGGCCTGGGGGTGGAGAGAATGGAGAGCAACTGCTACTGGGTACAGGGTATCTTTTTGAGATGATGAAAAGGTTCTAAAATTGATGATAGTTGTACAACCCTGTGAATATACTAAAAGCCATTGTGTACTTTTAAAGGGTACATTTTATGGTATGTGAATTATATCTTAATTATAATTTGGTTCCCCCCACCCCCCAAAATATTAGACTGAAAAGATACATCTAAGAGACTGTATGAAATGTGTTTCAGTATTTGGGTCTGTTGATCTAAAATAGGAGACTTCTTTTCATCCTTAACACCCAATTCATTCGACATTGTTTAAATGAATTCTTTTGCTTCACATTTATCTAATTTCTGAAGTTTATCAGGGATAAACTGTTTGGGGTGACTAGTGCTGGAAATTAAAATTAGATGAATAAAAATCAAACCTGGTAGCTACCTTTTTTAATTTTTCATCCAGAATGAAGATGATAACAAAGCCAATGAGAGCAAAAAACTCAAAATGGAGGACAAGAATTCGGCAGGTCACAAGCCATCCAGCAATAGAGAGTATGTCCCCAAAACCAGTTACATGTGTGTTAATATATGTATGTCATTTGCTATTGGGTACTTTCTGATGTGCATTTAGTTCTTTTTATACGTGTATCTCACATGTATGTATACGCATATATATACCAGATAGTGGGACCTTTTGCTTTTAGCTAATTGGGGTGGAAAGCATTTACGATCCAGTCACTTCTCTGTCCTCTTGTTAGTGGAGGGGGTGATGAGTATAGGATAAGAATGAAAGCTTTAGCACTTTCTGACTGGATTATAAGCTTATGTACAACTTTCAAGAGACTAATTGCTAACTTACAAGCATTAGTATCTTCTTCATTAATCATTTTGTTCATTTATTCAACCAATAGTTATTGAATTCTTATGACAGGTTTAAGCACTGGGTATATAAACATGGGGAGGGGGACCAGACAAAATGCCTACCCTCATGAAGTGTATAAGTTCTGTTTTGCAGAAATCGTGTGTGCTAGTAATCAAATAGGGGAAAGCAAAATTGTCTCGAAAGCAGGCAAAGAGAAGTGGAAAAAAATCCGTCACCCTTATATGACTGTGGAGAAATGAGGGCATTTGTTTGGTTTGGCAGGTCATCTAAGCAAAGTGGTACAAAAGAAAAGGATTTGTTGCCTTCTCCTGCTGGACCTGTTGCTTCAAAAGACCCAAAAACAGAGCATGGCTCTCGGAAGAGGACTATTAGTCAGTCTTCTTCCTTGAAGTCAAGTAATAACAGCAGTAAGGAGAATAGTGGCAGCAGCAAAAACAGTTCCTCCACATCAAAGCAGAAGAAGACTGAAGGGAAGACTTCCAGTAGCTCTAAGGAGGTCAAGGTAAGGCTTTGGGGGCCTGAACCTTTTGAAAATAAATCTCAGTGCCATGTGACTTCTCCAAGGTGATGCTGTGCTTTGAAAATCTTGTAAAACATAGAATTAAATTTATAGGCCTGTGCATTTTAACTCTCAAAATGTGCTAATCTTAATACAAACTTAGGCAGTGTCTGAGACCACGAAAGCAGCCAGTCAGCTGGCCACATGCATGTTAGTGAAGGTAGAAATCCATAACTGGGAAAGTTGGTTAAGAAAAAGAAACAGTTGATTATGATCTAATTATAAATAGCTCTAGTTGCTACAATTGAGTTCTTGTCTGTGGTTTGAAACTGGCTTTGGATTTTTTAGAATTAGATTTCACAAGTTATATTATGTAAAGTGACAAAACAACTATTTTGGCTTTGATTCATGAAGACGAAAAATATTCTTCAGCTGAGTTAGCACTGGATTTATTCCTAGAACATGATTACAATGTAGGGGAATAATCTTAATGTTTGCGGATGGGAAATTGGATCACAGCAGCTTTTTCAAGGCTGTACTTTATTACACTCTCACCCTTAATTTGGTTATCAGGACATTTGCATTACTTACTAAACTGTTCTAATCAGGAGCAAACTCCCTGATAAAATTAAGAAAATACCTAGATTTTAAAGACTATACAATTCACTGGAATATTATTTGCAATTTAAGTAAACAAAGGTTTGAGAGTTGAAAAAATTGTTTCAAGGCAGTTACTCATGCTTATTAATGTGGTAATTAAATCTCTTAAATTGAGATAATTGTGAACAATGTATCAGATTGAAATATACCATAGGCTTTTTCTCCAGTTGGACACCCTTCTGTACTTAATTGGAAAGTCAGTCCTGGTGTCCTTAAAGAACCTGACTGTTCTCTTGGCCTCTTTCACTCTCCCAGTTCTCTCTCTACCTGTGGAGTGGATTCTGTCTCCATCTTCCATCCTTTAACTGTAGAATTTGAGGCCTGTATGCTTATTTTTTAAAGCCTTTCATCTTTCTCTCTTTTTTTAAAATGCACTCACTAAGTAGAGCTCACCTACTCATTTAGATTTTGTTATCTTATAGTTAAAGCTCACTGCCTGTGTCTCTCCTTGCAGGTTTGTCAGTGCCTTGGAAGCAGGGATTTATATCTTGTTTTGGTTTTATCCAGTGTTTGACTTACTGGGTAATCAGGAAACATTTTTTGGATCAAATATAGTTATTTGGTGCTCTGTTGTTACTGACAAAATATGAAATATAGGCCCTGACCACTTTAACTTCAAAATCTTATGGCACTTAACAGTTGTTCAAATCATTAATGTTAGTTTTTGCAATTTCCAATTTAGGCAATTGTATATGGGTTGTTAAAGAAAAATCTGTAATTTAGTTAGAAAATAAGCTGTTTTTGTATAACTAGAGAAAAATTAGATAATATGGAAAAACCAAAGTTACATTATAGTTTTTATTTTGTTTTCTAGGCCTGTGCATTTTTACTCTCAAAATGTGCTCATATTTGCTCATATTATCAAATTTTTAAAAATATACTGGCATAGAGTTTATTTCAGTCTCTTACTGTGCTTTTAATATCTGTTAATCTCTATTTATGTTCCTCTTTTGTTCTTAATATTAATTCTCTGTGCCAGTTCTTTTTTTTTCCTTGATCAGTCCCAGCAAAGGCTTACTCAGTTTTACTTGTTTTTTCAAAAAATAGCCTTTGGTTTTGTTGATTCTCTGGAGTTTTCTTCTGTTCTTTATTTTATTAACTTATGCTCTTATCTTTATGATTTCCCTTACTCTTTTTTTTTTATGTTTTGTTTACTAAGTTTTAATGATGAATACTTAGGTTATTAATATTTAAATTAATTTTAAGCTTCTTCTCTTTCTCTAATATGAACAGGCTACGTGTTTTCCTCTAAACTACTGCTTAGCTGCATCCCACAAAATATGTAATATATATATTTTTTGGTATCATTAATCTACAATTACATGAAGAACATTGTTTGCTAGGCTCATCCCTTCACCAAGTCCCCCCCACATACCCCTTCACAGTCACTGTCCATCAGCATAGTAAGATGCTGCAGAATCCCTCCCTACTCGTCTTCTCTGTGTTGTACACCCCCGCAACATTACACATGCTAATTGTAATGCCCCCTTTCTTTTTCCCCGCCCTTATGCCTCCCTTCCCACCCATCCTCCCCAGTCCCTTTCCCTTTAGTAACTGTTAGTTCATTCCATTCTTGGGTTCTGTGATTCTGCTGCTGTTTTGTTCCTTCAGTTTTCCTTTTTCTTATACTCCACATATGAGTGAAATCATTTGGTACTTGTCTTTCTCCACCTGGCTTATTACACTGAGCATAATACCCTCTAGCTCCATCCATGTTGTTCCAAATGGTAGGATTTGTTTTCTTCTTATGGCTGAATAATATTCCATTGTCTATATGTACCACATCTTCTTTATCCATTCATCTACTGATGGATACTTAGGTTGCTTCCATTTCTTGGCTATTGTAAATAGTGCTGTGATAAACATAGGGGTGCATCTGTCTTTTTAAAACTGGGCTGCTGTATTCTTAGGGTAAATTCCTAGAAGTGGAATTCCTGGGTCAAATGGTATTTCTATTTTGAGCATTTTGAGGAACCTCCATACTGCTTTCCACAATGGTTGAACTAATTTACATTCCCACCAGCAGTGTAGGAGGGTTCCCCTTTCTCCACAGCCTCGCCAACATTTGTTGTTGTCTTTTGGATGGTGGCGATCCTTACTGGTGTAACGTGATATCACATTGTGGTTTTAATTTGCATTTCTCTGATGACAAGCGATGTGGAGCATCTTTTCATGTGTCTGTTGGCCATCTGAATTTCTTCTTTAGAGAACTGTCTTTTCAGCTCCTCTGCCCATTTTTTAATTGGATTATTTGCTTTTAGTTTGTTTAGGTGTGTGAGCTCTTTATATATTTTGGATGTCAAGCCTTTATCGGATCTGTCATTTACGAATATATTCTCCCATACTGTAGGGTACCTTTTTGTTCTATTGATGGTGTCCTTTGCTGTACAGAAGCTTTTCAGCTTGATACAGTCCCACTTGTTCATTTTTGCTTTTGTTTCCCTTTCCCGGAGAGATATGTTCATGAAGAAGTTGCTCATGTTTATGTCCATGAGATTTTTGCCTATGTTTTTTTCTAAGAGTTTTATGGTTTCATGACTTACATTCAGGTCTTTGATCCATTTCGAATTTACTTTTGTGTATGGGGTTAGACAGTGATCCAGTTTCATTCTCTTACATGTAGCTGTCCAGTTTTGCCAGCACCATCTGTTGAAGAGACTGTCATTTCCCCATTGTATGTCCATGGCTCATTTATCGAATATTAAGTGACCATATATGTTTGGGTTAATGTTTGGAGTCTCTATTCTGTTCCACTGGTCTGTGGCTCTGTTCTTAAAATATATAATATTTTTATAACTCAGTTTAAAATGTTTTCCAGTTCACATTGTGGTTTCATCTTTGTCCCAATAGTTATTTAAATGTATATTACTGAATTTCCAAACAGGGAGATTTTCTAGTTACCTTTTTTTGTTTGTTTAAACATTTTTAAAAAAATTTTGTTATCATTAATCTACCATTACATGCAGAACATTATGTTTACTTCACCAAGTCCCCCTCTAGTTATCTTTTGGTTAGAGCTTTTACCTTAATTACATTAGGGCTGGAAAGTGGTCTCCATGGTGCAAATCTTAAGAAATTGTTAAGATTTGCTTTGTAAGAGAGTATAGTATATGGTAGATTTTTGTAATGTCCCTTTTTTTTAATTGGAATAAAGGTGATACACAATATTATGTTGGTTTCAGAAGTATAACATAGTGACTCAATAATTATATATACTAGATGCTGTAATGTTCTGTATTTGCTTGAAAAGAGTATGTATTCTGCACATACTGGGGACGAGGATCTGTATCTCACATGTACGATTTACATAGAAGAAAAGTGTGTTGAAATATCTGGAAAATTGTTTTATTTTCCAAAGCTTCTGTTTTCCTTCAGTAAATCTCAACTTAGGCATTTATAGATCTACTTATAAAACATAGAGGGAAAGCTTGACCTAGTAATATTCAGGAAGCCATTTCATATACATGCAAACTTTCCCATAAAGAGCTTAGTATTTTCTCAAATCTCAGCACTTCCATTTCATTCCTTGAAGTAAGCTGTAATGGAAGGAACTGAAGAGCTCTTACACAAGAAAAGAAAATGGTTATGATTGCCTTTTAAATAGACTTTAAGCATATGAAGAAAAATTATATATTACTGGGTTTTCTAATGTTGGAACATTTATGTATTTGTAGGGTAAACTCTACTTATTTATAGTGTTTTATTATGAAAATATGTGTATTCAATTTAATGATAGGCTGGGGAAGCATTTGGGGAGATAGGATCATAACATTTGCATAAAGGGCTGTGCTCATAAGAGGCAGAAAAAGTTTAAGAATGGTCTGAGCTCTGAAATCTGAACTTAGGGAAGTTGCTCAAGCTCCTTGAGATTGCTTTTTATTCTTACCTAATAACAGTACATGTTTCCTAGAGTTGTTGACCCTAGGAAGTCCTTAGTTAACTTAGTGCCTGGTAAATAGTAAGCACATAGAAATGTTAGATATTATTGCTATTTTCTTGACCAGTAATTACCAATAAATTTTGTCCTGCTATTTTGATACTAGGTTTGTGTCTTCCTTAAGTTTTAACAAAAGCCTAGGTCAGTGCCTGGCATGTGGTAGACCCCTAATATTAGAACAAATATTTTGGTTATATAAAATGGGTCAATTCTCAAAGGATGTTTAAGTTCTGAAGTTTTATTTTACAATAAGGAAATTAATTACAGAAGGCAATGGAATTCTGTTTCTTTTACCAGTGACTCAGGAAATACTTTTAGTTTAATTTTAATCACCTCACAATTTTCAACATAATTATATATTTTTTTGGTCAGGAAAAGGCTCCAAATAGCTCCTCTAACTGCCCTCCATCTACGCCAACTCCTGATGCTTCTAAGCCTCGGAGAACAAAGCTTGTCTTTGATGACAGGTGAGATAAATACAATTTTTTATGTGTTCAAGAAATCATTCTAGTCACTATTTTTAAAGAAACTCATTTTAATTTCTTTCATTGACCAAAAGAATTCATTCTTGTGTTGTGAGCCATAGAATATTTAGATTTTAATTTGAAAGGCACCCAACTGGTCCGAGTTTTGCTCCTTTAACTTAACTCCATGACTGTCATAGGGAAGTGAATGATGTACCTTCCAGGAGGACCTGACAGCTGCTGGTATCACTGTGTAAAATAGGTGCTTTCTTAAATAAGAGCAATGTTGTTTTTTCTGTCCATTTGGGTAAAAGTTTATTTCTCTTACACACATTTTATTTACCTTAAATCTTTGAAACAACATGGGTAAGGTAGAATTTGATACTAGAGAGCTTTGATGTCTATTTCCTAAGTAGAAAATTTGCCATTAGTTGGCCAAAATGATTTAATCTCTTAACCCAGTATAAACATTTGTCAGAAAAAACTGAATTGAATGTTTAGTAATAGCTCGTTTACCTGAGAACATGAAAACTGGGGGTTGCTGGAGATTAAAATGAACTAATACTATCTTACGAAAATATTTAGCACTATTTATAATAAAAATTTACATTGCAGAAATTATTCAGCAGACCATTATTTACAAGAAGCAAAAAAGCTAAAGCACAATGCAGATGCTTTGGTATGTAACTATTTTCACATTTATGTATTTAGTCAAATTAACTTGAATCTTTGTATGTTGCTTGTTCCCACAGTGTATTGGTGCAGCTCTCGTTACCTTTATTCTCCTTTCTTCAGTCTGACAGGTTTGAGAAGGCCATATACTATCTCGATGCAGTGGTATCTTTCATCGAATGTGGGAATGCATTAGAGAAAAATGCTCAGGAATCCAAGTCCCCATTCCTTATGTATTCAGAGACAGTGGATCTCATAAAGTGAGTAGGGAAATTTGCCAATCATGGGCACTATTATATTTCTCTTGCCCATCTGGGCACAGGCTGATATAACTATATATGGTAAAGCTAAATAGGATGCTTAATCCTTTGTTATCCTTATCTAAGGAGAACTAGCTACTTCAATGGTATTTTTACCTCTATTTAGGTTTTATTCTAATGTTTTGAGGACTGAGGAAGTAGTCATAAGGTCAAGGTGATGTATTATGTCTTGTGTCATTTGTTTGTTATTTTAATCACAGATACACTATGAAGCTAAAGAATTACTTGGCACCAGATGCTACAGCTGCAGATAAAAGACTCACGGTACTTTGGTAAGTGTTGTATGTTCTAGTCTATGCTAAATGACAGGCAGTTCCATCGTTAAGTTGTGCTATGCTCTTCTGAAAGTTGTCCTTTAGTCAGCCTTCGGTAACCCAGTCATAAATCTATTCTTGATGGATGAAGTAGAACATAACTCAAAATTTCTACTAAAAGATTTTTGTTGTTGTCAGCCACTGATCCATCATCCTCTTGGCAAAAGCCTTGGTAGAGAGGGACTGGTACTAGAATTCTCCATTGTCTTAAGTGGTCACTCTTCCAGCCTCTTGTTTCGGTATCCTCTTATTCCCATATATTCCTTTCCTTTGGGAGCAAATGTTTAGCTTGCTCAGAATAAAGAATGTGGCTTGTTACCCTATGATTTCACTAATTTGTGGAATCTAAAAACAAAACAAAATGAACAAAACAGCAGTAGATTCATAGATAATGATAAGTTCCTTGTCATTCCCATGGGGGAGGAGTTGGGGTGGGTGGGATAAAGGGGCACAAAAATCTCAATCATAATATAAGTTGGTCATGGGGATGGTAGCACAGCATGAAGAATATGGTCAGTGATTCTGTAACATCTCCCTGTGTTGACAGAGACTAACTGCACTTGTGGGGGTGAGGAAGAATATGGGTCAGTCTTGAACCACTGTGTTGTGTACTTGAAACTAATATAGGATTGTATGTCAGGTGCACTTCAGTTTAAAAAAAAAAGAATGTGACTTGTTTGCCGGTCCCAGGTAGGTATTACCAGTTCTTACTGAAATTTTGAACATACAAAGTATTTACTTTACCTGGCACAGTGTTTAACAAGTGGGAGTGCACCTGTGGATAAAGCTGACATGATTCTGCTTGTCGTGGAGCATAGTATCTAGTGTAAAGAGGCAGAAATGAATTAAAGAGCCACACAAGTATATTAACTTAGTATTCTGAAAGAGTAGGGAGACCTTGTCTTTAGGTAGAGGGAACGTGTACAAGGGCTGGATAGTGGGAAGAAACTGGAAACTGTCAAGGAACTAGGAGACCTTTGAGAAGTGACAGTGACAGGAGAGGAGGGCAGCAATGATGAGGCAGGGCCTCGAATGTACACAGCCATGTTAAGGTTTGTGTGTGTTACATCAGAGTTGTGAAATTTGTAGTTGAGTCTCCACTTTTTGTTGTTTAATTTCAGATTATTTATAATTTGGTTTAGAAATTCTGCCTCTCAGTGGTTTTTTTAATGCATATGTTATAGTGACATGTTGGTGTCCTATGGGTGAAGTTTTGATTCTTGAACATCAACAAATAGGCAGCTAGTTGTCGGTTTCTTACCCCCCACACCCAGGGAGTATACCGTAATAGCACGTCTTTTGGTTTTGCCTAAGGGTTAGTGTTGTTGACCTTATGTCATGGTCTGGTCGTGTGAGCCAGTCCTGTACTCTTACACGATACAAAGGTTGTGCACATGTGGCCAGAGTCTGCTGTCCTGGTAAATAAGTTGCCCTTTTCCATTGGTCAGCCTGCGATGCCAGTCTTTGCTATACCTGAGGCTCTTCAAACTGAAGAAGGAAAATGCTCTGAAGTACTCAAAGACACTGACAGAGCACCTGAAGGTAAGTGTGCAGAGAAGACAATCCATTTCCTAGGAGACAAAAATCCACGAAGTCCTCAGTTTCCACCCCGGAAGTGCCTTCGTGGTTTACCTATCACAGCAGGGGAGGAGCTGTTGTTTGGGAACTTTCAAAGAAGTGTGAGGTTTTGGAAAGTTTTTAAACCCACATGTATGATGGTAGCCATATACTGGAGCCCTTAATAACATTTCAGTAGATGTATCTATTTTTATCATGAAACCTGATTTATGCTTTTAAAATGGGTTTTTGTTTTCACACCATCCTTCCTTAGACTGTTATCTTAGTTTCCTAAAAAATGTCTTGCTATGTTTTTTCATGACAATACCACATAAATCTTCCTAAAATCCTGCCCTGATTAGCTTACCATTGCCTATAGGGTCCAGGCTTCTTACCCTAACCTTCAAGGCCCTCCCAGTCTCTCTCTCTCATTCCTTATCTAAGTCTCTGCTCCAGGAAAACTGTATGGGTCACATACAGTATTTTTCCTGAAGCCTGTGTACATATGACTTGCTTCTCTCTCCTTCCCTTCCCTTCTGCTCTGTGTGAGTGTCTCTCATTCTTTGACTCTCCCTCTAAATCTTCCAGAACACCCCAGCTCTCACCTAAATAACTACTTTCTGTTGCACGTTTATACACATACACACCACACACACCACATACACACACACACACACACATTTTGGTTTCTTAAATTTATAAAGCTTCTTAGAAGATCAGTTCTGGCTCATACATATTTAGTACTCATAAGTAGTGTATTCTTTAAAAATTAAGTACATTTTATTTCCTCCACAGAATTCTTATAATAATTCTCAAGCACCATCACCTGGCTTGGGAAGGTAGGTAAATTTTATTCTATAAAGTATTGTTTGTACCAAGTTTATTTTTATGTAAAGGTAGAATGAATGGGTAGCATCCAGTTTCCAAAAATAGAAAAATGACAACCTTTTAAAAAATTAAAGCCTCTCTAATAAATAAAGTATTTTTTAAAGTTACTATTTTTTTCCTGTTTATTATTTTATAAGCTTAAAATATGGTAATGAACATAATCTTAGAAGGATTTAGAGAGGGGTTATTTCACCAGCAGAAATCTGAGTTTTTAATGGCATCTCAGCCATTCTCGCAGTTTGATTTCTCTAGCCACTTGACCTTTTATCAAGTGGGCTTATCTTTACTCAAGTCTTGACGCTACCAGAATTTAGTAACATTGGCATGACTGTGGTTTCTTCTCTGTTCCTGCATCACTCCTAGCTCATCCACCCATAAAAAGGAGGGAAAGTACCATGGAGCCTTTTTTTTTTAATAAGTTTATCTGTTCAATTATTTTATGTTAATTGACATTGTCTTTGCCTATATGTATTTTCCTTGCCAAATTTATAGTGCTAAAAGTACAGATAAAAATATTCTTAGGTGGTTTTTACCCCCAACTTTTGTTTGATTTTCCTTTTTTCATACATAATGGGGCATTTTTTTATATGGGGCATTTCCACAAATTTTGATACTGCTGAAGTGAACCTGCCAGATTTTAACATGTGTTTTCTAAGAAATATTTAATTGACAGGAAGCTTGAGATGATTGCAGTTGATCAGGAAAGCTGTACCTCTTTGTCATCTGTGAATAATTTGCTTAAACTAGGAAAGTACCAGAAATTATGGAGTTCAAAATAAGATGTTACCATCTACTATCACAGATTTTTTGTGTTAAATTGTTAATTCCACCTAACTTCCTACAAGATAATTTGAAAAGTGCTAATTATAATGCCTGAATAGTAGATGGGAAGTGTGTTGAGCGGGGAGTGAGGCAATCCAGTTTCAAATTCTTTGAACTGCTGCTAACAAGGTACATGACTTTCTCAGTTCTTTCCTATCTCTTGTTCTTTGCCATTCATTAAAACCAAGAGTCCAAATAAGGTGATTATTCACAGTACTCTTCAGTGAGCTGAGTACTAATTCAGAAGAAATTGTACTTATCTGGGAACCCTTCTAGTTTAAAAGAGTCTCTAATTTGAAAAGTCTTAATGTAGGAAGAGCTGCCAGCAGGACATTGATTTCCTCATGTTCATCATCACCATATGAATGAGCTTCCTGTTTCTGTGTGTGTAGCAAAGCTGTTGGGATGCCTTCACCTGTTTCTCCAAAGCTGTCGCCAGGCAATTCAGGAAGTTACTCTTCTGGGGCCACCAGTGCTTCCGCAAGTGGTTCTTCAGTGACCATTCCACAGAAGATCCACCAGATGGCAGCCAGCTATGTTCAGGTTACATCCAACTTCCTCTATGCTACCGAAATTTGGGACCAAGCTGAACAGCTTTCCAAAGAGCAAAAAGGTAGGGAGAGGTCTCTGGAGAAACTTTGAGGGATGTAACTGTTAAAAGGAGCTTTTATGATCTAGATAAATAAGTGTCTGGTCTGCATTGGTTTACTATTTACTCTAGAATTGATGATGATCAGTTTGCTAATCTTCATTGCTTAGCAGTCCTACTGAATTTGATCAAAAAGTACCTTTCACTATACTGGTGACACAAACTAAACTAAAAATAGTTTTAGTTGAAGACAAATATGCCTTTGTTCTGGCACATTAAATGCAGCTCATACTGTGAACATAGTATATATGTTCTACTCTCAGATGGTTAACAGTAGATTTGACTATAGGTGTAGGATTACATCCAGACATCTTGTACATATAAGAAGTTTAATACAAAATAAAATGCATTCATATGGGATATTTAGGTATATTGGAAGAAACTTATGTGATAAAAGAGATTATAAAAGGAACAGATTTCTAGCATATTATCACTTGAGGCTTTGCACCTGAAGTTTATCTCCCAAACTAAGAACTTTGAGAATTATAATAAAGTATTTATAAATCTTAGGAAAAAGTACTATATAAACACTATTTTATTTTAGTAATGTGATTTGCAAATAGGTGTGTTAAGCATCTATTCAGATAGGCCCTTTGTAGAGAAACACTAACACTGCTTCTCAATCAAGTGTTCTTCTGTCACAGAGTGCATGTAAATGCTTAAAGTATAAACCGGTAATCAGATGAAAACAAAAGATTCTTATCCCTAAGGAAGAGTAGTGGTGAGAGAAAGATAGAAGGGGATCTAACATAAAGTTGTGTTTTTAAAAACGTTATTTGTTCCTAAAATTTTAAAAATATTCTCAGTACTGCTCAGGAAAGGTTACAAAACTGAATTCTTTCAGAGTCACCCCTATTTACCTTAGTTTCCATTCTTCAAGTGACACTGTTTTTCTAGCTACATTTTTTTTTTCATCTTTTTCTCCTTTTATTGTTGTTAACTTTTTGTATGGCAGTTTTCAAACATGAACTAAAGGAAAGAATGGTGTAATGAACCTCATGTACCTTTCACTAACCTTTAGTTCCAACAACACAGCATTTTGCTAATGTTGTACTCTCTCTCTCTCTCCTAGACTTTTCTTTCCCTTGGAGTATTTTCAAGCAAATACCAAATTCATGACATTTCACCCAAACGTACTTTGATTTGCATCTTTAGGTGATAAGGGCTTTTAAAAAACATGACCACTGTGCCTTTATCACAGCCACCAAAATGAACAATAACTCCTTTATGTCATCTAATACCTATTCTACCACGGGATTTTCTTGTTGTCTCAAACATGCCTTTTTAAACAGTTGGATTGGTTTCAAGCAAGATCCAAATGTTATTGATCAGTCCCGTAGTATTTGCATCCTTCCACTTTTTTTTGGCCGTGCCATTGCTATCTAGTGGAAACTGTGCTATAGGATGTGCCATATTGTGGATTTGACTGATTATCCTTCATGGTATCAGCTGGCTTAATTAGGTAGAAATTTATTATTTTATATTGGAATGTTTTATAGGTGGTGCTCTGTGTTTCCTATTATATCATATTAGGAAGCATGTAATGGTCATCTCTCTTTCAGTGATAATTACGATTTTACTGTTGATTCATCCAGGTGGTGTTGGCCTGACTCATTTTGATGTAAAAGTCCTTATTAAACTTTGATTTATGCCTTTGCCATCTATTGGTGATCATATCTGTACCCCTTTTCCAGAAGAAATAGGAAATTCATCTCAAGAATTTCTTACTCTGATATTCCTGTGCTGGCTGAATTCTGTAAAGACCCTTTTCTCAACTGTTTGATTACTTTTTGCCTTGTTGGAGTAGGCTGAGATCTTGACCATGAGAATGACTTTCTCTGTATGTGTAAAAACACTCCTTTACTGTCTGTGAGTCTTGCCTCCCTCTCTCTTCTCCCAAAATTGCATTTTACTCTTAGGATCAGATGTTAGGATATTGTCTTCCCCCTTCCTCCCTACACCTGTCCTCACATGCACATCAGCCTATATTTGTTCACATAAGAAGAATCCTTTCACTTTTATCCCTTGCATTTTTGAACTACTGTCTAAAGCATGGGATTTAATTTATCAGTACTGCATCACAGATGATTACAGGCTGGTTGGATACAGGCTGTCATAAGTGTTTAACCTCACAGGGGCTCTTATGGGGAAACATGCAAAGAACATCCTCCTTGCTTCTTATACACCAATGGACTATCTGCTTTATTATTATTATTATTATTATTAAAGTATCATTGATACCCAATCCCAATCTTACGATGGCTTCACATACACAAAACAGTGGTTAAACATCACCCATATTATCAAGACCTCCCCATCTCTGTTGCTGTCAACTGTCACCATGGTATGATGTTATAGAATCATTAATTGTATTCTCTGTGCTTTACTACTATGCCAGTGATCTACCTATGTTGTGATTGCAAATTATTGTGCCCCTTAGTCCCCTTCTCCCTTCCTCCCCACCCTCCCTAACTCCTCCCCTTTGGTAACCACTAGTCTCTTCTTGGTGTCTATGAAGACTACTTGCTTCTTTCACAAAAGCAGTACACAGAGAGTTTAGTAATGAATAATTGTGGCACTGAGCCCCATTTTAATAGTGTTTACTGAATACTAACAATTTATAATCTCTGTTACATAATTATGCTTATATGTACAATAATTAATTTCTGACCATTCAGGAATGTTCCATGACTTTGGGAAAAATATGTAACTTGAGAGGCTATGGGATGGATGGCTTGTTCTGAAACAGTTACCATTTTTGTGTAATTAATGGGAGTGTTTTTTGACTTCATATGAATACTGTTCTACAGTCTAGACTAAAAATTTTAAAGCAGTGATTCAAAAAAGCATGCATCATTTAATGAGTGTTTTTGGTTTTCCAGAATTCTTTGCTGAACTGGATAAAGTAATGGGTCCTCTCATCTTTAACACAAGCATCATGACAGACCTAGTTCGGTATACCCGGCAGGGACTACACTGGCTGCGCCAAGATGCCAAGTTGATATCTTGAACTGAACATATTCTCGTTGCCTCTGATTTTCTCCACAACACTGTGTCACATCACGAAGGAAAACTGCCATAACATGCCACCTAGTCGACACTAAGAATGAGGAATGGTTTTCTCCTCCCTGGTTTATGTGGTGTTGTTTTTTATAATCCAGAGCCATGTCAGTTGATCCCTTCAATATTCCCAAGACGTAAAATGATTTCAGCGCTTTTAAATTTGCAGCACATTGATAAGGTGGTTTCAGTGATCTATAATGAGATTGAAATTCCATTTGGAATTTATGATTCATCAGTTGAAGTTCTATTTATTTTAATTTTTTTTAAGTCCCCAGTTTGGGGCTAGTTTAAAACTTAGTTATTTCTGCCTAATAATTTGCTCCATTGGATATTTAGCATAAATTTAATGTAGGCATTTTTATTTATATACTTTGGGAGATTTGTTACCTAATAATATCTTTTTGTGGTAGCTCTTCTAAGAGCAAGAGTTGGTTCATCTAAAATATGGACATGTTCTTTCTGCACCTACTACCTGCTGTTATTTCAGATCTTAGCTACATTTTTATTATTGCAGAATTTATACTTAGTATTAAGGATATTCTACACATGAACAATATGAGAAGATGGCATTCTACATGGATGTAAAATGAAATGTGTCTGAATGGGTATTCATTATTTCAAGAACTGTGAATGGGTTAACACTAGCGATCACAAGGTGACTATAACTTGCATTTAATGTATTACAAAAGAAGGCAGGCAGACTTTCTAGAAGCATGTGGGACGGGTTTCGGAAAAGGACAATCTTGAACTTTATGGATTTTATTCATACCATGTGTTCTTTTTTGTTGCTAATAATTTGATACTTCATTGAAACAGTGAGTTACTGTTGAACAAAGGCTGATCCAGCTCCTGAGTGTTGCTGCCCGTATCTCTTTCATTGATGATATTTGAAGGGTAAAGTCACTCTTCATAAGTCTTACCTGAAAAATCTTTCCCCACACTAGATTGTGGTGCTCTGATAGGAGCATGCTGTGATCCACATAGGGGTGGATGGACTGGAGCTTTGATGTGTGTGCTTTGCTATACAACTTGCAGTTCTAATGCCTGACATGGAGAGGATGAAATTCTCCTTTTAAACCTATCTTGTCTTTACTCACTTTTACTATGAAGGCCCTCATCAATGATGAGATCAGAGAGTTCACACTAAAAAGTACCTAACTGGGTTTATTGTGAGCTCTCTTGGGAAGGAGAGGGGAGCCGACCTGGAGCTTAAGAAGCCAGCTCTGTAAGACTTGTATATCAAAGCACCTTTCCCTATAAAGGTACATAGAGGAATCAACGATGAGAAATGTACCTTCTGCTTTTGTTTTTAGTGCCCCTATCATGTCTGGTGTGCCTTAAACCTTAACCTCTAAATGAAGACCCTGTGGAGTGTTTACAGATAAAGTTTTACACTAGGACCAGACCACCCATACCATTGGTCTTCTGCAGTAATAGTGCTAAAATTCTCTTTCCTTTTCAGTCTTCCTTTAGGGTCCCATAAAAATAATTCAGAAAAGCTAATTCTTTGATACATGACTTAGTCTAACGTGTTGGGTAATGCTGCTTCAAATAAGAGTTTGCCCTTGTCCCCCCATTCCAAAAGTGAATCAAGCCAGCCACAAAAAAAGAATTGCCCTGCTATTTGTAGATGATTGCTGAGGCTTGAAATGGGAGAGGAGGGATAGAATATCTCCAAGCCCAGTGGTACAGTGAATCTTCTGTGTTTGAGACTCTTTCTCATTTCTGAAGCTAGTGAACTTTCATTGTCCTGTCCTCCTATTTATAGAGCTTCTTAACTGTCTTCTACTGCAGGTTGTTTTTATGAATCATTAAAGATTAGAATCTGCAAATTATGTTGAATTTAACCTTTTCCCTTGGATAAATTGCCTCTGATATTGTTCTAACTTAATCTTACTGTATTTTAGGAACAGGTTTCCTTAAGAGGACAACTTCTCAGTGTTCATAGTAATTATTCAGTTAGAAACTTGCCACTGTTAATCAAGTAGGTGTATGTCCTATGCATCTCTGATTTCTCTGACTCTGATTTCTTAATTTGCAGTGATATCTTAGAAATGGGAAAAGTATCCTCTGAGCTTTTAGACCTTCAGCAGCACTAGCCAGTGGGGTGCCTCTGAGTTCTAGCATGCTCCCTGAAAGGCAGCAGGGGCATTTCTGGGGTCACACTGACAATTTGTTAAAGCAGAGTTGCGGGCATGTCTTACGGTGCTGCTCTGAGATATTCTCTCTATATAACTGTGCTACTTCTTGGAGAATGAAATTTTTCAAGCTTTTCAGTATGGAAGGTTTTTCCCACTAGGTGGTGGTGGGCAATGGATCAAAATCCTATCCTAAATAATTGAATTCTTAATGTAATAGTCTATGAAAACACCACTCCTCAGAAGTTCTGTCTGTGTCTTCATCTGCTCCAGCATATACTTGGGACTCCTTTACAAGTGACCATTCCTCCTTCCTCAGTAGGTGTCTTCGATGTACTCTGTTTAAAACTGAATTTGACGAGTGGCTAAAAACTTACTTCTTCTGAGACTTGTACTTAATATATAGTTAATTATAAAAGTAGCAACTATTTAACAAATTACTCTGTTGACTGCTCTTTAAAACCACACTTGTATGCCAGGAGGCAGTAGCCTATACCATTGGACTCTTTACAGGCAACAAACCAGTAGATGGCTATGGGTAAAGTTGTCACATGGTAGACCAGCCCAGGCCCAAACTCTAGCTGGGGAGCATTCTGCCCATTTCTTGGGCAAGTAACCAAGAACTGACTTCCTAAGCAATGAGTACTTCAGATAAATTTACAGCTCTTGTTGCTGAAAAGTGGAGAAAGTTGACCATCACTAATTCTCCAGTGTAAAAGCAATCTAGAGTAATGTGTGCACGTGCCCACATGTGCCTGTGCTCTGGGGAGCTCTTGCACTGATGGATCCATAGGCATCCGGGCTGCACTTTGAATGACACACTTTGTGGCTTTATTAGATTCACTATTGTTGTTTTTTTAAATTGTTGTTTGTTTCTTTTCATTAAAGAAAAGTTTGATCAGCTAGATCAGACAGCATCATTTTGTATTTTGTATACAGAAACTTTGGAAAATTACCTTTATTGAATAAGCTTGTATTGTGAAGGAAGAACCTACAAAAGGCACCTGTTCTATGTGAAGTTCTGGTTGTGTAGGCCAGCAACACTCTTTGGAGTTTCAGAGTAGCCAGTGGTTGCTCTAGTTAGTGATGCCTGGTTGTGTAAGAGGAGAGGTACGCTGTGCACTCTTCCAAGTGTGAGGGTATGCAACTTTGGATTTAAAATTATGTACACATACACACTTTATATATATGTATGTATGTATGAAAACATGAAATTAGTCTGTCAAAAAATGTGTGTGTTTAGTATTTTAGCTTAGTGCAACTATTTCCACATTATTTATTAAATTGATCTAAGACACTTTCTTGTTGACACCTTGAATATTAATGTTCAAGGGTGCAATGTGTATTCCTTTTAGATTGTTAAAGCTTAATTACTATGATTTGTGGTAAATTAACTTTTAAAATATATTTGAGCCCTTCTAGTATAATAGGGCTCTTACAGGGTGGGAAGGATTTTAATTTTCCAGTTGTTCATTGAACAAAGTGGCCTCATTAGTATTTTGATTCACAGGCATTTGCCTCTGGGCCCCAGACCAGCTCTGGGAAGGCTGTGGGGGCACACGAGGGTGGTGGTGGTGGTGTTGGAGTGAATTGGGAAGCAAAGCATTTCAGATCCATATAGGCGCCTGTAGATCACATTGCCTAATTACATGGAACCCAGATTTCATTTCAATTTAATGTGTCATTGTGTTGGGCAGACTTTTTTCCAATAATAAAATAATATTGTCCATCTGAGGTTGCTGTTCAGTATAAATATTGAATGACTTGGAATTTGTTGTGGCAAGAAGCCAAATTGGTCATATTTGTGAGCCTGTCTTTCACATACTCACTAATGGAGAAATTCGTTCATACCCCCAGACCTTAGAATCAAACTGGCAAGTGACAGGAAGTAGTTGGTAAAGCAGATGCTGATTCTATTCACTTGAATCCTGTGGTTAATTTAAAAGAACTACTGTCTCCAGAAAAATGAATGGAATGAATATCTAAATCTCTTATTTTCTATGGAATTTGGTCACAGAATAGTCATTAAAGTTAAGTCTAACCAAGTCTTAGAGATGTTAAGCATCATCAAATAGCAGCCCAAAGCAGCCACCTTGTCACAAGGCTCAGTGAGGGAATGCCAGCTTTTCTCCTGCTGCTGTCATTATTCAGCAAAGCATTAATTGCTGCTCTTAAAAAGAAACCAACAAGAAAGCTAAATGAGCACGGAAAAAAGCTCCCACCCAGGAATTCTAGTTAATACTCAGTTCTCACCACCTACTGCTTTCACATGGGGTTTCTTTTCAGATTTTAATCATTGGAATTTTCTCCTATTATGTTTCTCTCTGGAAGATACCTGTTTGGAAACACTGCCATTCAAATCAGTGCCATGATTATCTATACTGTTGAGTTTGTTGTTCAAGAAGTGTCCCCTTTTTACAACTTTATGCACAAGCCTGGCAAGCCACTGACCTGAGCATTCAACAGTGCTTGGGGCGGGGTGGGGTGGGGCTCACCAACGAGGCTGGCGCAGTTGGCAGTGCCTGAAGAGGCACCACCTTTGAGGACCAGACGTGGGGTTGGTAAGCGTGGTTATGAAAATTTCTGTCTAGCATCTGTTTGGAATGGTTTTAAGAAATTTTGTATGTGGAGGATGGAAATGCTTATATATTTATTGAATAGTTTTATCTTATTTGAAGGTAAAATTAATTGGTTAAAAATGGTTTGATATTTGGGGAGGGTTTTAAAGGGGAAGTAACACCACTGATAAATTAAAAGCCTTGTTATTTTGCAGAAAGGTACTGTTAGTGTCTGATAGGATGTCTTTGTTTTGTACATGATTCAAATCTTTGTTTCACATTTCTTTTATCCAAAATATTTAGGCATCTGACATTTGCAACCAAAATTTCAATTGAATACTGTGATTTTTACTTGTTGCAATACATTAAAATTTCAGAGGTACTTTGGGGCTCAAAAGCTAGGATTTCTAAGTCAGTATGTGCATTTCACATAAGCTGTTCATGGTGAGCAAAGTATTATATACTAACTAGATTTTTCCACATCTGTATAGTATATTATATGTATTTTGTGGTATTGAGATTATAGAAAGTTTAGACTGTCAAACATGCGTTTAATGTGTATTTTTAAACAAATTTATGGCAATTAAAATATTTGGAGACAAGGGTATCACATTTCAATTTGTAAAAATCTTTTTAACTCTACTGTGTCATTAAGATGCTTTGTATAATGCCAAACCATAGCTGGAGAAACTAAATTTAATAAATATCAAATAGATTTTCTGTATTAAAGTCGATAAACACTGTGCTCTTTACGCTTCCTCAACTCTTGTTCTGCCCTTTTCACGTCATCCCGTTCTGTATCGTACGGGCCAGTGCTGCTCTTCTTTAAAAGTCTGGTCCCGCCAGTCTGGGTCTCATTTTCGGAATTCAGAAATTCTGAACTTGCCATGGGTCCTTTTCCACAGATCAGAATTTGCCCTGCTTGAACAGAAATCTTAAATCCTTTCTGCTGCTGTTGGTGGCTTGGGCTTTTATTGTCTTATTAAAGGTGGTTTTTTCATGCAGCTCTACCTCTGTTCCCGTCATAGACAAACAGGCAGATATCAGGTAGCAGGTACCAGTGCTGCCTGTCACTGAAGAGTTCTCTACACACAGCCAGGGGCGATCCAGGGCCAGAGCTCATGAGCTTGCCAAAGTGGACCGCATAGCTGGTTCTAAATTTTTGCCTTTATAAAGCCTGCCATTGTGTTATTTCTTGAAAAAATGTTAATTCTCACCATACTTACCAGAAGGAGAAGTTAACACGTCATTAAGCAACACCGTTTTTTTCTTAGTATACAAAGTGAATCTTCTCTCCCTCAAGAACTTGAATTCCAGACTGTCAGAATTTCAATTTGAGAATTTAATAGTATAGGTAGAAAAATAAAGCCTGCATTAAATTTAGTTAATGCATATCTACATATCAGTGTTCTGAGTAGTTATGGAGACCAATTGAAAGCATACATCTATCTTTAAATATTAAAACACAGGATTGCTTCCCTTGTCTCCAGCCAAAATTTAGTTAAACAATATTCCACAAAAGAGGGCACTGTTGGACGTTGAGTATATCATCTTCCCCTGGTATGCACATCATTCCTGGGCCACACTTAGGGAACAGCGTCTATTCCTATGGGGGAAGAAAAGGTGATTTTAAGACAGAGGTGTGCCCGTGCCCAGTCTCCTCTGCCGCATTTCCTCCCTCTGCTTCACCTGGTCAATCTCTGGGTAGACCGAAGAAAGGAAAGGCGCCACTCTTTGTTGGCACCCATGCGGAGTTGTTCTGGGCTCTCAATTCCTGAGGCATTCTCTTCCATGGAGCTTCCAGCCTCAGCCCAAGCAGTCCTCTGTCCCAACTTTGTTCTTAGATCCATATGTGTGCTTATCCCTACTTTGCCCAAATTCCCAGGCCTCTGGCCCAGCCCTGCTCTCAGGGTTGTGGAGTACCTGCAGAGCCTTGCGATGCACTCAGAGTCATCCCGGCAAGAGGCTCCAATGGGCCTGAGGGAAACTCCTCTCCAAAACGGGGTCATTCTCCGCAGCCTTCTCTTTGCCGAACTTGGTGCCAGTATTGGGGAACCATCTACCTGTAGGGCCGAAACAGCTTCGCCTCAGGTATGGCTGAGTTGGCACCCTGCAGCACTCCTTGGAAGAATGATCCCCTCCAGGACGCTGCAGACTCGGAGCAGCGGACCCATTCCTCAGGACCGAGTCAGACTCTCCAGTTCGGCTTCAGTTTTCCCATCACCACCGTCCCCACACGTCCACCCAGTTATCCTTTCCTTACCTGGCCCAACAGCAGCAAGCAGGTCATGAGCACTGCAAAGAGTTTGAGGTGCCACATCTTGACAGGGGATGTTGGAACCTGAAAGCCAGGGATAGTTTCCACTTTCTGTTATAGACTGAAATCTGCCGCTTATGGTTGCCAAGGGAGATGAGGGCAAAGTTTATATTTGCAGTCAGGTTCGATTTAATAAGTTAATGTCTACCAGAGGAATGTGCCCAAGGCCTGCCTTTCAGGCACGTTGTATTTACTGATCTCTCATCTGGACTTTGAGTGATGCTGGCTTGGACCCTTTCACCCATTTTACCAAAAGTCAGCACTATGGTCTCCTTTCCCTTTAAAAGCCATGTTGAAGCCATTGAGGGAGACCTGGCACCTAGCCACATTTTGATTCCAAAATAGCTCAGTGAGATCACTAATCAAAATAGAATTCTAATAATGAGGTCTTCAGACATAGTGTTGATCCCTTTCAGCCTGTCTAGGACAGAAGCGCCTTTGTATTGTGTTACAGGTAATTAGATACGGCCCGTATCTCCCTTATGTGGGTGGATGCTTCAGTGGACATGGTCTCTGGTGCCCCAGATCTTCCATTTGTATAAATGGACTGCCACCCTAATTATCTGCTCCAGGTCATCTCCCTGGAAGAATGGAAACCCAGCTGTGGAAAGTTCAAATTCTGGCCTCTCTCCCAGGGGAAGGGAGTTACTTGAACCTACAGGTGAATTGAATGGATGAGTACAGGTTGATTTTTTTGTTCTTAAAAACATGAATGAAGAGGTAGCAGGGGCCTCTTAAGTCAGTGGGAGAGTTTGGTGGTAGTAACAAATCACATTGCAAGACTTGAATTAGGGGCTTTCTTCCCAGTAGTTGAGTGGGGCCTTCTACAGAGCATATCCTTCCAGCAGGATTGGTCTTTCTAGACCAAGAAAGAGCAAGTATCTAAACTGTGAATAGTTCTGGGTACTCATTAAATGACCTGAGTATTTTAATAAATTTTGGGGGAAAGGTATAAATTCTGAGTAAGGAGATTTATAGGGCACTAGTTCTTCCTGTGATTTGTAAGAAAAAGCCAACAAGACAAATGCAACAACACTTTCCACCTGGTGTCTCTGAAAACTTGGCTCCTCTCTCTCCCCAAGGCCCTCAGCTTCACAGGTTGGATAGCTGGTAAGTGCCCACTTGTTCCCCAAAGGGAAGTGACGGAGATGCAGCACAGCTGAAGGTGGAGCAGGATGATTGCCAGTTCTCTTGCCAAAGGAGAAGAGGGTGGCATGTTGGGCCTCAGACCTGGGGTTGGGCAGGGTGCAACACCAAAAGTGTGACATGGTTCTGGTCCTCTCAGGACCACGAAGCCAGGCCTACAGACACCTCCACTGGCACTTTAGCAACACTGAGCAGCAGACCTATGCCAAACCCACCTAACCAATATTGCAACTTTTTTTTTTATACTGGTATTTTCATCTAGCTTTATTTTATTTTATTTTTTTT